GGGGGGGGCAAGAGAGGGGGGTCCCCCAGCGGAGCCCCACGGGGCGGAGGGGGGGGGTCAAGGGAAGGGGATTCACCCAACGGAGCCTCCCGGGAGGGTCAGGAGAGGGGGATCCTTCAGTGCGGCCCTATGGGGGGGTCAAGATCCCCACACACAGCCCCACGGGGGGGTCAGGGGTCCCCCAATGCTGCCCCACGGGGGGGTTAGGGGTCCCCCATTGGAGCCTCACGGGGGGGGGTCAGAAGAGAGGGGTCCCCCACCACGGCCCCACGGGGGGGTCAAGGGAAGGGGATTCTCCCACACAGCTCGACGGGGGGTCAGGGGTCCCCCAGCGGAGCCTCACGGGGGGGCAGGAGAGGGGGGTCCCCCAATACAGCTCCACGGGGGGGTCAAGGGAAGGGCGAGCTCCATCATGCCCATGACCTCCACCACCTGAGGTCACCCATTGTCATCACATCCTGGCCAGCAGTGAGTTGTCTATAATCAGGAGAGGGATCCAGGATGTCCTCTCCCCGGGGACACGGGCACCACAAGGCGAGGTCCATCATCCCCACGGCCTCCACCACCTGAGGTTACCCATGGTCATCGCATCCTGGCAGTGATGACATGCCCAGAGTCAGGAGAGGGATCTGGGATGTCCTCCCCCTGAGGACACCATCAGGACATGTCCACCCCTTCTCACTGTGGGTACAGACACCCCCCCGTCCTCGGGTGACCCCAAAACCCCCGATCTGAGCGCAGGGCTGGGAGCTGGGGTGGCCCCCGCTCTGCCCTGGCGTGGCACGCTGCTGTGGGCACAGCACCCAAGCTGGTGACCATTCTGCTGCTGGTCCATGCGGGGACAATGGCTTTGCCCGGCTTGGGATGTGATTTTGAGATGCCTCTGGTGGTTACCTGGCCGGTGCCGCCCTGCGTGGCCCATCCCCAGCTCGCTGGTGGCAGTGTCAGGGGGACGTGCCCCTCACCGTGGTGCCAGGGCACGGTGCCACAGCCACCGCTCGGCGCAGAGCTCACCCCTGCCGGCTCGGGGGCTGCCAGCCTGGCACTGAGTCGTGTGGGTGGGAGAAAATGATTCTCCTCCAAAACGGTTCTCCTCCAAAATTATTCTCCTCTGCCTGGGGAGGAATTCTTCACCTGGGGAGGAACAACCCCCTGCACCAGGACAGGCTGGGGGGTACTGCTGGAGAGCAGCTCTGGGGAGAAAGACCTGGGAGTCCTGGGGGACACCAGGATGCCCAGGAGCCAGCAATGGGCCCTGGTGGCGAAGAAGGCCAAGGGCATCCTGGGGGGCATCAAGAAAAGTGGGGCCAGCAGGTGGAGGGAGGTCATCCTGCCCCTCTGCTCTGCCCTCGGGAGGCCCCAGCTGCAGCACTGGGACCAGTGCTGGGCTCCCCAGTTCCAGAAGGGCAGGGAAGCGGTGGAGAGGGGACAGCAAAGGGCTGCCAAGATGGTGAGGGGCCTGGAGCATCTGTGTGCTGAGGAAAGGCTGAGGGACTTGGGTGTGTTTAGTGTGGAGAAGAGCAGAGGGAGGGGGGATGTGCTCAAGGCCTGGCAATCCTTCCAGGGTGGGTGTCAGGAGGATGGGGCCAGGCTTTTCCCAGTGGTGCCCAGGGCCAGGCCAAGAGGGAACGGGCACCAACTGGAGCAGGGGAAGCTCCATGGGAACAGCATGAGGAGGCCGTTGTTTGGTGTGAGGGTGGCAGAGGCCTGGCAGAGGCTGCCCAGAGAGGTGGTGGAGTCTCCTTCTCTGGAGACATTGCAACCCCCCTGGAGA